AGTCTGACGATAACTCCGAAAAGGTGCTCTAATACAATGCTGGTGGGAGTGTAAAACGGTACAACTACCAGGGAAAGGAATGTAGCAAAATTACAGATGGCAAAAAAAAACAGATCCAGCTATCTCCCTTCCAGGAATCAGTCCTACAGTTTTTCCATGCACGTGGGAAACGACCTATGTACAAGTTATACCCTGAAACATTACAATAATAAAAGATTAGACGCAACCCAAGGATCCAGTCATAGAGAACTGGTGAAGTACACTATCGAACGGAATGGAATACGGTGAGGAATAAATGGAATGGAGTACTGTGCAGGAATAAGAGGAGTGAGGAAAATCTCTATGAACAGATGTGGAGTGATCTCTAGGACACACTGTTAAGTGAAAAAAGAAAGGTGCAGAATAGTGCACAGAGTAGGCTACCTTTGGTTATGACTGATGACAGCATCAGGGACCCTGAAATACAGCAATATATGAGGTAGCTCGTTACCTTCTTGCTTTGAATATTGATAATTAAAGGGAAAGAAGTAAGCACGTATCTTGCCTCTCCATCAAATTGTATTTCAGAATAACCAGAGTTGCAGTTGCTGACAAAAAGCCATCCTTTACAGAAGAATGTTAGCTAATAAATACAGAAGGAATGATAGTTTTAGAAAATTAACATTTTGCAACTCATAACGAAACTACTGATTTACACAAGGAGTATCAAACCTGTAAGGTGTCAAAACACCACACAGATTACTTCCACTTCTAAGGAAAAAAACATAACTGTATAATGAAGGGATCAGGCTGTCGTGTCCGAAATCCAATCTTAGCATTACCAATTATGGAACAACCAGGTAATAGGTTCCTCCTAATGTGACAGAATATGAAATATACAACATTACCTGTGGTGTACTCCAGTCAAAATGCTTAACTTTATTAAGTCTTCAGAGCTAATTTCTCAATTACCAAAATTCAGCAGACAGAGGAATATGCTAAAAGACATCGCAAGATTTTTCAGGTCAATAAACCAAGGATATAAAAAAGGGAGAGTTCTAGATTGAGATTTTAAGGATATAACAATGAGTTAATGTTCCTAGATTGGATCCTGGTTTGGATAAACCAGCTGTGAAAGATATTACTGTGACAATTAGTGAAATCTGAATATAGAGGTGAAGTCTATTTCCCACCCATTGAATCTGGGCTAGTCTTGTGATAGAAGTGATCCTGTGTCAGTTCCAGAGTCTAGCCTCAAGATCCTCGTAGACTCCACCTTTGCCCTCTTGGCAATCTTCATGGGCTGCCCTCAGACCGCCATGCCATGAAGCTAATCTACTGTACTGGAGGATGAGAGGACGCATGGAGGTGAACAGGTGTCCCAGTCCACAGCCCACACCAATTATCAGACATGTGAGTGAAACTATTGCGGCTGTTCCAGCTAAGCGAACCCTCTAGGTGAATGCCACACAAGGGAGCCCAGGCTAAACCAGCAGGGGAGCTGCCCAACCACCTCACAGAATCATGAGAAAAATAAACTATTACTTAAGCTACTAAATTTTGGGGTGGTTTGTTATGCAGCCATAAATAATTTGTACAAGTGGGTATTAGAAAGGTAAACATTAGTAAATCAAAAAGCCTGGTTATAAATAATATGTACAGGACAATCTCACTTTGATAAAACTCACACATGCAGACAGACACAAAGATATAGAAGGATATATACTAAGTAATAACAGATGCTGATAATGAGGTAAACTCTAGGTAGTGAAAATATGGTGTCTTTACTTTCTTATTTTTATAGCTTTTCTGTATGTACGTATATTGTTTTATTATAATAAAATATATTTTTAAATGTGTCATTTTAAAAAAAAAGGGGAGGTCTAGTCATCAGACAGAAGGGTCAGCTGGTTCCCTGAAAAGCTGGAAATGTAAATTCTAGCTATAACCTCTAACCAACCAAACAAACAAAAACACCCAAACCCATTGCTGTCGAGCTGATACCGACTCATAGCAACCCTACAGGACAGAGCAGAACTGCCCCATAGGGTTTCCAAGGAGCGGCTGGTGGATTCAAACTGCTGATCTTTTGGTTAGCAGCCAAGCTCTTAACCACTTTGCCACTAGGGCTCTGTTATAACCTCTAGCAGTACAAAAAAACTGGATAAAACTGATCAATCAATATATCTAAGTACATAGCCCAATACTTACAAGACTGACCTAGTATGTGTTTCAAGCTCTGTAAATAATTTAAAAAAAAAATAAAAAATAAAAAAAAAACCCACACGCAAAAAAACCAAACCCATTGCTAACCAGTCGATTCCGACTCATAGTGACCCTGTAGGATAGAGTAGAACTGCCCCACAGGGTTTCCAAGGCTGTAAATTTTTCCAGAAGCGGACTGCCACATCATTCTCCCTGGGAGAGGTGGGTTTGAACCGCTGACCTTTTGGTTAGCAGCCGAGCACATAACCATTGTGCCACCAGGGCCCCTGCAAATACTTAAAACATAAAATAATTTGTAACAGAATCCTGTGCTAGATTTCTAAAAAGATTTTATCTTTAAGTCAAATAAGGATTGTGAATGTGCACAAAGAAAAAATAAATTAAATAAATCTATATAGGCAGGAGACAGAAGGGCATGCTTTCTAAAAGCAATGCCTTACTTACTATGCAATGAATATTCTGTTTATTCCACGTTCTACTCTTGAGTTGGTGCAAGAAATGGGTTTTCTTGTTTTGTATTTGTTTATTTATGGACCACTGACAAAGAGCAAAAATAATGGAGAGCCAACAACTACAAAGCAACATAATAAAGGACTATTACTTTTTAATCAAACAGAAAATATTTTGCTCATCTACTTTTAAAATAAACAATAAAAACCATACTGAGTACCATTATGGTAAGAGAAGAGAAAAGAGAGAGGAGAGAGAGACGCTGTGGCGTAGTGGTACAGTGCCCAGGAGCCTGGGTTCTCATTAGCTTCTGGCTGGTACTAGCTGTGTGACCTTAGGCACAGGATTTAACTTTTTGAGCTGGTTTCTTGTAAAGGAAGAAGCTGAACAAGATAATTATTTCAGTCTCTGTGGGCTCCCTAGGCTTCCTTGGGGATTCTGGTAGGGTGAGGACAGAACACACTGGTAGGACGCAGTGCCCTTAAACTCAGATTCAAGCAGAGCCACTTCTATTTGTTTTCCATTTGAATTTCCGTGTTTTCATTTGATGGAAGGGTTCTGCTGCTACAAACGTTCAAAACCACTGTATTAAAATATTTTGTCTCATACAACATCGGGTAAGAAAGGCATGCAGATTAAAATCAGCAAACATGCTTAGCAGGACAGCAAGTATACACAGGAGGCAGAATCAAGGGCCAGAAGATACTGACCCACTGGAACAATGCACAGATGATAACATTCATGGGGTCTCTGACAGAACAGGAGAGATTGTGCCCTATGTACATAAAAGATTTAGGATTGTTAGTTAATGATAAACATGCACTGCAACATAAGCCTGAAGCATAACTTCATGGCTCAAACAGAGAATGCAATTTTAGGTATCCTTAAAAAAAGTATAACAGCAGTCGTGATTCAGCAGTAAAATTCTTGCTTTTCATGTGGGACACCTGGGTTTGACTCCCAGGCAATGTACCTCAAGCGCAGCCACTACCCATCTTGTTAGTGGAGGCTTGCATGTTGCTATGATACTAAAAGGTTTCAGTGGAGCTTACAGACTAAGACTAGGAAAAAAGGCCTGGCAATCTACTTCCAAAAAAAATCAGTGAAAATCCTATGGATCACAGTGGTTCATCCCGTTGTACATGGGTCATCATGAGTTGGGGGGCCAACTCCATGGCAGCGAACAACAACAATAATAAAAGTACAATTTCCAAAATAAGAGAATTCAATAAAATTGCCAAATATATTAAAAACAAAAAAACATGTTTGCACTACCAATAATCAAAGATTACAGGCAACATTTTTGGCCAACAAAACACAGACTCTGGAATGAGTCAGCTCTGAGTTCTAATCTTAATTCTCAAACTTACCCTAAGTATGTAATTTCAAGACAAGCAGCCTCTGAGAACATCTGACACCGTAAATGAGGGGACCTTGGCAGTACAGCTGTGAGGGTTAGTGATACTGTGGATAACACCTAGTCAGTGATACTACGGTAACACTGCAGGCACTCAGGAAATAGCTAATGCTTACAGAGCACTAAGCGAAATGCTATCTTACCTAATCCTCACAACAGTTCTAGGAAGGAATCATAATATATAAATGCAAATTAACACAAGAATGGGATCAAAATTGTAATACATGGAATATTCAATGGTGACAGAGCGTGATACTGGAAGTACTGCCATTTACTTCTGGAACAGAAAATGGTGCAACGTTTCTGCAAAGTAATCTGGCAATGTGCACTGTGGACATTTCCAAAGTCCAAACACAATGATCTAACTTTATTTGGGAAAGGGAAGTATTCAAAAGTGCCTGTTCAGGAGATGGAAGTGATTAAAGGGTGGACTGATTAGTGGCTATCTCCATTATATGCAGGTTTTTCACCAGGAAAAGCAAAGCATCTCTAGGAATAGAAATCTTTTCTGTCATTCTTTTTTATTTTTCCCCATTACTGGTTTCCATAAATTTCCCCTTGTCAGCCCAAGTCATTGACTTCATGTTTCTTAGAACTCCTAAAACAGTAGTTGTGCCCACTGCACCACTCAGCACCTCCACGTAAATGGAAGCACCGTGGCCAGGGAGGAAGATCCTCCTAATGAGTCAACTGTTCCTTAAGATGAATAAAGGAATACACAACAGAAGTAGATAAATCCCTTTAGGCTAGGAGATCCCACATGAGAGCAATGCACGATTTTCAAGGAAATGCCACCACAGAGAAGAATTAGAGTCAAAATATTTCGCTTCTTCTAAGTCCAAAGTGTATTGCCTTTTGAGTGCATTATGGCTCAAGACTCAAGGATAAATGTTTTCATAAAAAGTCTGACGACAGTGGACAAACTTACCTAAAATGAGATGAAGCTTGGTTTCCGTCTGGAAAGCATAGTGCAATGTAACCAAAAATGGTGACTGTCTAATGTGCTCCAGCACCTGTCGCTCCGTCCTTGTGTGCTCTGTCGTTTTGGCCTTTTGGACTATTGTTGCCTTTTTCAAAACTTTCATGGCATATAGCTTTCCAGTATCATGACCACTTATTTTACGTACTAGAAATACTTTTCCATAAGCTGAAAATAAGAGAAAAAAAATTAAAAATTAAAATGCTACACAGGCGGAATGGTAATTTATTGCAAGTTGAAAGTTACAAGGCACAAAAACACTCTTTGAAGAAAACAGTATCCTTAGTGCTGGTTCAAACAGTTCTTTGATGGGTTTCTTCAATTTTACACCAAATATATTTCCAGGTGTAACCCTGTGTTTATATATCTAACCACTGCTGACACGGTTAGGCCTTCTTCACTCTTGTACTGTTATTCTCTCCTCAGTATTTTTAGCTGTAGGAAACGAGTTGTTATTATGGTCAAATAACCACGATCTAATTCTAGCACAACTAGGACATTTCAGACATCAGATAAAACCTCTAGGTATGTATGTTCACTGTTGATAGGGACAAATAAAAACAGTTCTTAATAAGAATTCCATAACCCAACATAAAGCATGCACCTCAATATTATATACACAAAACAGGTCTTCAGATTAATGACCAGCAAAAGACCATAAATTCCAAGCAATAAGACAGAACACTGCCCTTTACATCTCTGGGCAGTAACTCATGGCTCACTGGGTCAACCTCGTCATACTTTCCATAAGTAAGGGCTCTGTCTGGCACAATCCTGTGTGGGGGCCACATGGGCACACTGCTTCACTGGGCAGAGTAGGTTCTCTGCATTTATTGTGCGGGGGAGGAAAGAGGGAGATGGAAAGAAGAGAAGGAGGGAGGGCAGGCAAAAAACACACTTTTTACAAGGGAAAAGGTAAGTCCCCAATTCATCCCATCAAGTTATAGACCCTGGTGGCACAGTGCTTAAACACTGGGCTGCTAATCAAAAGGTCAGTGGTTTAAACCCACCAGCTGCTCCATGGGAGAAGCATATGGCAGTCTGCTTCCGTAAAGATTACAGCCTTGGGAACTCTATGGGGCAGTTCTACCCCAGCCTATAGGGTCACTATGAGTTGGAATCGACTGGACAGCAACGGGTTTTGGTAAAGAGCCAGTCTATTTTAAAATACCTGGAATGGTTTAGTTCAGTCCCAGTTTAGAAGTATTTAGCACATAATTGTTTTCTATTCACTAGAATTGCTGTTGTTAGATGCCATGGAGTCGATTCTGACTCATAGCGATCCCATGTAACAGAGCAAAAATGCCTGATAGCGGTTTCTAGGCTGTATGTAATCTTCCTGGAAGCAGATAGCCTGGTCTTTGAACCACTCTGTGGATTCAAACTACCAACCTTTTGGTTAGTAGCCAAGCTCTTAACCATAGTGCCACCAGGGCAGGAATAAGAGAGCTTTAAAGGAAGGGCCCTTGTACCCTGTACGTTACTGAGTTCAGTATTTCAGGAGCTACGTAAGTACAGGTGACATACACTGGATCAGTGAATGACTACTGTACAGTCATCAGGAGGAGGCGAGCCAACACTTACTAAGGACCTCTCTATATCAGACACTGCGATGAGCCCTTCCCTCACAACAGCCCAATGAAGTTAGCATTTTTGGTAGCCCCAAGTGGGTTCAGAATAGTAAGGAACTGACTAAAGAATTCTGATAGGAAGTGGCAGAACTGACTCAAACACAAGTAGTCTGACTCCAGGGACCATACTCTTATCCATAAATGAGTAACAAAATGATTTTTCATGAATACTAAAAATGGGATGTTCTAGAGTTTAATAAAAGCCATACCATAAACATACTGAACACATTCTGGAAGGCAGAAAAAGTTTACGAAGGTTTGTGTTTTCTCTCATTGTGAATATGACAATTATAGGCTAAGATATTAATAAGGCAAAAGTGATATTAACAAAGAATACCAGACAATTATAGGCTGGGATATTAATAAAGTAGACGTGATATTAACAAGACACACTAGACAATTATAAGTTGAGATATTAATAAGCATGCTTATTAATATTATTAGAGGAGCTCTGGTGGCACAATGGTTAAGCGGTCAGCTGCTAACCAAATGGTCAGCAGTTCAAACCCACCAGCAGCTCTGCAGGAGAAAGATGTGGCAGTCTGCTTCCCTAAAGATATACAGTCTTGGAAACCCTATGGGGCAGTTCTACTCTGTCCCATAGGGTCGCTATGAGTTGGAATCAACTCAGTGGCAATGGGATTCCAGGGTTTTTTTGGGGGGGGTATTAACTATTAAGGCATAGACTCTAACAAATTAAAGTCTAAAAATGAAAAAAGTTCATCCATTCAGAAGCAAGGGAATGGAGCTTAAAGTATTCTAATGAAGCATACTCTATCTTTCAACAGAGCAAGCCACTATAGGTATATAGCGGCCCAACTCCTCAGCCCACACTCTTGGCTGTGTTCCACCACCTCCCTTAAGTGACTGACCTCATAGACAAATAGACAAAAAGCCAGGCATTAAAGAGAAGTCACAATACAGGCTAGGTGTTATAACAGTGGAATGCTACACTTCCAAGACGAGGAAGTTTTGCAAAGTAGCCCATTTTACTGATGAAGGGTTCTAAACATTAGAAAAATTTTCTTATAGTGAGTGGCATTAGGCCTCCTTATAATATTAGTCTACTGGTCCTACTTCTATCCTCTCTGGACTTACAGAAAAAGAATGTTACTCTTTTTGTATAATTTTTCAAATATTTGAAAACACTATCAAAATTGAATCTAACAATGTATAAAAAGAATCATACACTACAAACAAGTGGGATTTATTCCAGGTATGAAAAGATTTGTTCAACACTTGGAAGTCAATGTAAGCCATCACATTAACAGGCTAAAGAAGAGAAATCATCTGACCATATCAGTAGATGTAGAAAAAGCATCTGACAAAATCCAACACCCACTCATGATAAAAATTCTCAGCACACTAGAGAGAACTTCCTCAACTTGATAAAGAACATCTCCTGTTCAACAACATGCTGGAATTTCTAGCTAAAGCAATTAGACCAAAAAAATTACAGATTGAGAAGGAAAAAAACAAAAATGTCTGCAGATATGATTGTCTATGAAGAAAATCCCGAATAGACCAAAAAAAAAAAAAAACAAAAAAAAACCCAAACAAAAAAATTCCTGGAACTAATAAGCAATAATAGCAAGGCTGCAAGATACAAAGTTAATATACAAAAGTCAATTGCTTTCCTATACACCAGCAATGCACAACTGGAATCTGAAATTAAAAACAAAACACCATTTACGTTAGCATCAAAAAAAAAAAAAAAAAGAAACACACAAGTATGTACAAGATCTACATGAGGAAAACTACAAAACTCTGATGAAAGAAGTCAAAGAAGATCTGAGTAAATGGAGAGATATTTCGTGTTCATGGATAGGACTTAATATTATTAAGATGTCAATTCTTCCTAACTTGATCTACAGATTCAGTGCAATCCCAATCAAAATCCTGAAGTTATTTTGTGGATATAGGCAGTCCTTGGGGTACAAATGTCCGACTTATGTTCAACCTGTAGTTACAAATCAACCCCCATAAAGCCTATTTTATTAAAAATTTGAGGTACATACAATGGTTTGTAATAACAAATGGGCACTACTTTGCGACATGCATCAAAACATTATTATTATTACTACATTATGTTAAAGATGTTTTAGTGTATCTGGAAATGTTTAATGTTTTTTATGCATAGAAAGGTATACTATATACTAAGACAAACATCTGACTTACGTTAGGTGCAAACTATACCTAACTGTTCCTTCTGACTTAGGTACAAATTCAACTTAAAGACAGACTTAGGAAAGAAACGCGTCCATAATCTAGGGACTGCCTGTACTGACAAACTAATTCTGAAGTCCATATGGAAAAGCACACCTACTAGAATGGCTAAAGTCCAAAACACTGACAATATCAAATGCTGGTGAGAATGTAGAGCAAAAGGAACTCTCATTCATTGCTAGTGGGAATGCAAAATGGTACAGTCACTTTGGAAAACAGTTTGGCAGTTTCTTACAAAGCTAAATACAGGCTTACCATAAGGTGTTCCTAGGCATTTATCTAAATAAATTGAAAACTATGTCTGTACAAAAACCACACAAATGTTTACAGCAGCTTTATTCATAATTGCCAAAAACTGAAAGCAACTAAGACGTACCTTAATAGGTGAATGGATAAACTGTGGTACCTCCATACAACAGAATATCATTCAGCAATAAAAAGAAATGAGCTATCAAGACATGAAAAGACATGGAAGAATCTTAAATGCATACTGCTTCGCGAAAGAAGCCAGTCAGAAAAGGCTACATATTGTAAGATTCCAACTACATGTTACTCTGGAAAAGGAAAACTATGGACACAATAAAAAGGTCCGTGGTTGCCAGGGAGAGCAGGAGGAGGATAAGGCAAAGGCACCTGTAGGGCAGTGAAACTTCTGTAAGATGCTATAATGGTGGATATATGACTTTATGTATTTGTCAAGACTCACAGAACAGTCCAACACAAACAGTGAACCCTAATGCAAACTACCAACTTTAGTTAATAACGTATCAATATTGGTTCATCCATTTTAACAAATGTACAATACCATGACAAGATGTTAGTAATAGGGGAAACTGTGAGCTGGGGAGGGGGGCATATGGTAACTCTGTACTTTCTGTGCAATTTGTCTTTTGAAAATTTTTTATTTTACTTTAGATGAAGGTTTACAGAGAAAACTAGCTCTCATTAAACAACACACTGTTTTGTGACACTGGCTGCCAACTCTACGACATGTCAACACTCTCCCTTCTTGACCTTAGGTTCCCCATTACCAGCTTTCCCGTCCCCTCCTGCCTTCTCGTTCTTGCCCCTAGGCTGGTGTGTCCATTTAGTCTTGTTTTGTTTTATGGGCCTGTCTAATCTTTGCCTGAAGGGTGAACCTCAGGAGTGACTTCATTACTGAGCTATAAGAGTGTCTGGGGCCATACTCTCAGGGTTTCTCTAGTCTTTGTCAGACCAGTAAGTCTGGTCTTTTTTTTTTTTGTGAGTTGGAATTTTGTTCTACATTTTCTCCAGCCCTGTCCAGGACCCTCTATTGTGATCCCTGTCAGA